GGTTCCCTCCAAAGGCAGGACTGTGATTGCCTGATATTGTTCCCTCCAAAATGTATCCCTTCTTGCTAGTTCCCTGTCCCTATAAATGTAGCTTTCCTCTCCCCAGTCTTTAGTCTTGTTGCTTTAATAAAGAAGTGTTACTAGAGAACTGTCTCCAGCATGTTATATCAGGAGAGCTGAAATCACAAACCCCACGTCACAACAAAAAGTACAAGCAAACTGCAGTTTAATTCTATCAGCTAATTAGGGGAGAAAGGAAGAGTAATTATGGGTAGGGACAAAAAAACTCCAGCACCTGAGATATTTTCTGCCAGGCTCTGCTCATTGATGTAGACAGTAAGCAGTAGAATAGCAATGAATATAGTGACTGAGGAAACGAGTGTGCTGACCTTCATGTGCCAATCACACACAGAGAAAAACTGGATATAATTGACCTGTTTACAAGATAATGTCCCTGTCCGGACACAAGCTAATACATTTTTTTTAAAAAAATAAAAAATTCAAAAAAGCCAGAGGCTTTTTGTAACAGGATATCAGTCGTAGTTTAACTCTTATGTATGCTGCAATAGTTGCATTGCAGAGTTTAGCAATGTCAAGATAAACAACCTGATCCCATCCATTTCTGTTAGGAAGTAAGCCCCAGCGAGTTCACTGGGACATACTCCCAGGTAAGTGTGAGTAGCATCTCAGCCTAAGTCCCTCAAATACTTTGCCCTTGAAAATTGTAGCTGCACACTGAAGAAGACTTGTTAGACTTCGAATATGTGGGATAGGTAAACGGTCTGCCAAAGTATTTTTAGAAGGTATTCCGCTCATTTAATTCCATGCCAAACATGAGCAAACTCCCACTGTGAAAGTGTCCTAAGGTGTAGCTCATCGTAATTTTACTTCTTGACAGGAGTGCTTCACAATAATCAATAAAGCCTTTCATTTGTAAGAAATCCAGCTTTCAGACAAAACACTTTTCAGTCTGGTATTTAGGAATCTTTAGGTGTTCTCTCATGTTAACAATCGCCCTTCATTTTGCACAGTGTAATACATGTTTACAATATCTTTCACCCACCACATCTCCAAGATCACAGCAACCATGAGCCACAGAAGTCAATGCAAAATTCTAACTTCATTGCACTCTCTCCATATATTCCTACTCTCTGCTTCTTGTTGCTTAACCAGTTCCTGGTCTACAAGAGCATCTCGCCTCTTATTTCATGACGGCTTAACTTACTGAGAAGTCTTCATTGAGTTACTTTGTTAGACTAACCACTGAATGTCACGTGGATGCTCCTTGGTTATTATTCCATAGTGATACACTTTCCACCTAATGTTAATGCTAATGTGATCCTCTTGGTGAGTAATGAGAGCCCCAGGAACAAATTTTCAATTTGGACAGTGGGGGCGGGGAAGCAGTTTGCAAAATTTGCAGTTACAGTTTTTCAATAACAGTAGAATTAAAAGCTGCAATATGGGAATATTTACAGAGGATACAACCCAGTCTCCCACAGGTGCTCTTCCCATACGCAGTGAATTCCCATAGTCTCAACAGAAGCCTGTTATAATTCACCAACCCACCCACTATGCATAAGTGAATGCCACCCATTGAGCCATTGGAAGGAACTGAGGCCTGTGTGCGCCTCTCATATCTCTGTCTACGGATCCCTCTCACCTCAGTAAAAGCTGTTCATGTGCTAGAACCTGGCATTTGTGTATAGATCTCCCATTACTCCTAATGGCATGTGTTTGGCCATGTGTGGGAAGAGGGAGAAAATCTATGCTCTATTGAGTCTGTGGGAGCTTGCAGTTCCTCAATTTATTTAGTTGTGATAGGGAGGCGATTTCCATAAAGACATGCCTCTGCAAGTAAATTCACTCTTATTTTATATTTCTCAGCTTTGTTCAGCTATGTGAACCTCACAGATAAAGGACAAAAGTAATTTACACTAACTCAGTACGTATTAATGATGATAACCTTGTAATGTGAATTATAGGTTGGGAAGCACACTTTATCTAGAGAGGCATAAAATGAGAGTTTACAACCATTAAAATGATGAAAATGCAATTAAGTCAAAAATAAGGACATTCAGAAGTCTTATAGTACACATGAGACATAAATCTGCTGAGGATATCTGGTTATTTAGAAAAAAATAATTTTAAGAAACAAACTTATTTAGTGCTAAATACAATATTTAAAGGTGCTGTCCAACAATTCAAACACTTGACAGAATCAAGTATCAGAAAAGGTTGTTTTCAGGTTGCTGCTTGGCAGTTTTAAGCAAGTTTCTTGCAGCATTGCTTTGCAAGTAGGAGATAACATTGCTTACTTTGTGAAGAGTCTGAAATATGGATCTAAGTGCCAGGTTGTGGTACATCATGCAGTAGACATTGTTGGCGGTCATGAATATATTTCATGACTGTTTCCTATTGAAATGAACAAATTTGTTTAAAACTTAGCATTGCCAGGATATGCCAAAACACAGCTAGTGAATTTGTTAAATTCATTCTGTACTGTTCAAGAATGATTAGCCCAAATGGAGTTGGAAATCAAACTATTTCACAAGTTTAATCATTGGAGGGTTTTGTTTTGTTTTTACTGTTTTATTGTTTGTGGACTCTTAGATCTATATTGGCTTCATGGGCTTCCAAGCATATTCCTTCCCTGTCATCATTCTGTAATATATACAGATGCAAAACCATGTAGTCTATGAGAAATTTCTTTTGCTGGTGTATTAATATTTATATTAACAAGTTAGAAAACTATAAAATTTGGCCAGTGTTGTAATGTAGGAATTGCCAACTCCGAGCATCTGCAAAGGCCTTCATTGGTGTTCCTGGGCAGGTACCCTGGAGTCTGAATTTTCATTTACAAAAAAGTAAGTCTCTAGCCCTTCTAGTTATCAAGCAAAATATGTGGCACCTTCCTGTGAAATAAACCAGCTTGGCTGCTCCTACCTGTCTGTGTTTTTAGCCAATGTGCGAAATTAGAGCTACTACTGATAAAGTGAGTTGTTTGGACACTAGTCAAGAGGAATCCCTGGGGTCCTAAAGAGCTGTTGCTTTACCCTCCCCCTTAGTACACCTGTCCTGTTTCTGTTTTATTTCCTAGTAGTCCTTGGAATCTCCGTATTTTGCACTTCCATTTTTCCTAGCAACCAGGATGCATCTTTCCTGTGGGGGATTCTTCTGAGATTAGGTACTCCCTAGAGGTCATTGTCTGCAAAGGCTACTACAGAATAAGGGTGGGTGGGTGTTAAAAAAAACCCCATCCCAATTGGCAAATGCAAATGTGAAAAGTTTGCAAAGGAGGTATGCCTCCTGCTGTGCAAAGCTGGTGTCCAGGTACTCATGAAAAATATAATTAGTATATTTAGCACAGTATAATTAGCTGACAGTACATTGCTATATAGGGACACGGGTGGCGCTGTGGTCTAAACCACTGAGCCTAGGGCTTGCCGATCGGAAGCTCAGCGGTTTGAATCCCTGCGACGTGGTGAGCTCCCGTTGCTCGGTCCCAGCTCCTGCCAACCTAGCAGTTCGAAAGCACATCAAAGTGCAAGTAGATAAATAGGTACCACTCTGGCAGGAAGGTAAACGGCGTTTCCGTGCGCTGCTCTGGTTTCGCCAGAAGCAGTTTAGTCATGCTGGCCACATGACCTGGAAAAATTGTCTGGTGACAAATGTCGGCTCCCTTGGCCAGTAAAGCGAGATGAGCGGTGCAACCCCAGAGTCATTTGTGACTGGACTTAACTGCCAGGGGTCCTTTACTTTACCTTTACATTGCTATATATGTCTTATTTCAGAAGTTTATTTGTGTTTAATGGGGCTTATTCCGAGCTAGGAAGGTACAGGGTGGCAGCCTATGCGTTGGTTTAGCATTAGCAGTGGGGAAAGCAGGGCTCTTGCACCTTTTAACAGCTGTATCTACACAATCAGGACCAGCAGGACATAGGTGAATTCCTATGGTAAGATGAGGGCACCTGCAGGCAGGAAGCCAAAAAATAAACAATGACTGTACAGGGACCATTTTGTGTGTATTCAAAGTACATGTGGACCATTTTTTTATTGCCCCAGAAGAGGGCTGAATGAGGCGTAATGCAGTGGGGTGGGCTTATGCGTGTTCCGCCAACGCACACAATCGGGGGTGCCTGCGCTGTTGCTAATTTTTTGTTTTGCCATGTCTTCCACAGCAGCCATGTTGTGTTATGCTATGGCAGCCATTTTGATTGCATTTTGTGGAACCTAATAAATAAAATTGTTTAATTGTATCTCCTGCTTGTGGATAAGTATGCAGTTCATACCTGAATGCAAGTAAATTGTTGATTGAATATATAAACAAGTAAGTCTTTTGAAAACAGAAATAGCATACAGGCTGTGTGACAGCAAGCAACAATATTGGGAACTGGCCAGGGGCCACCAATCCAAGAACCCCCAGCTAACCACAGGCACTGGAAAATGCCATCATCACAATGGAAGGAAGGAGCTCCAGTCTTCTGCCCTCTCTCAGGGTCTCAGGAGGCTGCTGCAAGTGGGAATTGATTGATGGCTTTGTTTTATAATTGCTACCCACTTAAGAATTTACTAATTGAAGAACAAGTTAAAAATTTATTAAGTAAATAAAGATGTCATCCCTTTTATTATCAGGGAATGGCTTGGCCCTTCTTGTACTTTCTGCTAGAGAAGGCCATGTACATGTTAGGGAAATGTACTGTACATTTATGGATAAATTATTATTCTGCAGCAAGAACCTGTTTTTTAAAAAAAGATAATTGTCTGAGACAAAGTTTTAAGAAATATCTGAACTCGGTGCTTTTATGTTAAGGAGAGAGAAATTATGGCCTGGAAGACAATATATTCCTTGCATTATATAAAACAAAAGGCAAGTGTGAGAGCCCCGCACCATAGTAATGAGGACAGCCTGCCTGTACCAATTTGCCATATACAGACATTCAAGACAGGCTGAATCCCATCTGCCAAGCCTTCTAATGAATCCTTTATAACAGAGAAATATGACCTTGATAATGAAATGTTCATTGATTAAGCAACCGTTTTTAAAGTTGTGTTTCTTTCTTTCTTGCCCTCAGCTGACATTGCCAACATTTCCTGTTGTTGTGAAGATTGGACACGCTCATTCGGGCATGGGAAAGGTGCAGGTGCTATTTATCTATCTTGAGGGGAAATGGTGGAACTACTTTTTTTAAAGAAAATGCTATGTAAACACTGCAGGCACCAAATTCTATAATGGAAGCATCTAAAACTTCAGGGCAGTAATTATGCAAATCCATTTTGAGACCCATGCTTAGAAGTCCATCCGTATGTATTTGCTTAATTTTATGCATATGCATACATCCCCTGAGCATATAATCCTCTTGTAAAAGTCGGTGCTTTTCAAATTGAAAGATGCTTCAAAGAGTAAGAACTATTCTTAACTAAAAATTGACAAATTACCTATGCCAGAAATACTGTGCACCCGTGATATTTGTCCTCTGCTTTATATTATTTAACCTTTTAATGGTTTTATAATGAACTGGACTTACACCCTCCCATCCATTCAGTCACTACATCTTCCATCCTGTTTACCTAGTCCTTCACCTCCTGTGCCTTCCATTTAAACCCCACTTACCTGGCTGGAAGTCTAGCCAGCACCAAACAGCTTCAGGAAGAGGAAAAGGGGGGCGTGCTCCATCCCTTCTCTGGCAAGAGGACACAAGGCCCCTAAATATGCCCTAAAACTAGTACATGAGCTACTTTCTTCATTTTATTAGTCACACACTCCCACACAGCCTACAGATATTGTAGTAGCCTTTGAAAAAAACTAAATTCCCAGGGGATGGGGCCACTCAAGCAACATACCAAATGCCAAAGACAGGAGGGAGGGACAGATTTTCTAACTTTCTCTCCCCGCCCCTGGCCCCAGCTGTTTCCTGCTGCTAGACATACTATTCAGGTGGTTTAAATGAAAAGAAAGGCAGGTATTTGGGATTGAAGTGGGTGGGTGATAAAGGACTTGGACAATAATTCTTCTTTGGCTCAGGTTTTAATCAAAGATGGAGAAGTTTCTGATTTTGTAAAATCTATTATTTGAGTATTATAAGCCCTAAAAATAGAACATGAGCTACTCTCTTCGTTTTATTAGTCACCCACTCCCACACAGCCTGACTTTTCAGTATCATATTTTTACATCTGGCGTTCACTATCTACTCAGCATTTTCCATTCTAAAGGCCAACTTCTTCAATCAAATATGTACACATCCCTCAGAGTGAAGTATTTACTATGGGAGGTGGCGTCACAAGTGACAAAAGATCTTGGCACTAGTCTGTTGAACCTTTTAAAGAGAAGCTAACTGATTTAGTGAAATCCAAGCTCTCTCACTTAATTGGATTAGAATATACTCTGATGAACTAAGATAGTGTACTATACTGATTAAACATCCTTCTAAACCTAACCTTTTAACATTTAGAGAAGAACAAGCATTTTACATTTGCTTTTGTTCCGTTTTCAAGTCTATATCCAAACATCTTCCACAAAAGAATTTGAAATCTCATCTCTTCTATGCTGAAATCTACTAAAGTGCATAGTGAAAGACTTCATTGTATTCTATTGTTGAAGGGAAAGTAAGCTGGAGAAGTCAATATTTTATATGTAAAATTGTATATGTAAATTTTAGATGTAAGAAGATAATATAATTCTTTGAATCAATCTACTTTCATACCATTCCTCTGTTTTTAAAATATTTTATCTTTGAATTTGAAACATTGCCAACTGGCAGGGGGTTGGACTCGATGGCCCTTGTGGTCTCTTCCAACTCTATGATTCTATTCTATGTTCTATGTCCTAAATGCCACCATTTGTTTCCTTACAGAGAGGTCCTAATTTTTTATTGTATTTTCAGATTGTCTGTAAACATGTGCTTCTGTACCATTCATTGATACTGCTGGGTCAGTTTTACAATAAAGCATTGCTAGAAATTAATTGTCTGCATAAAGACATATTAGAGGGAAAATGTGTTGTAGATATTTATATAAATCAATAAATCAATAATAAGTAGGGATGTTCAGTGATGTCATTCTCTGTCTCAGCTTATTTCCTTGTTGTATAAAAGTGCGGTTGTCCCTCATATAAAGATGCTTGCTTTGCAGGGACACCATTTAAGGTTGGGGTTGAGCGGGTGACAATGAACAGCAATATACAGAACTGATTTCAAGGAATCCACTGAAATCTGGGCATTTTCCAAACATCATTTTCTGTCCTGCGAATAAATAAGGCGGATGGGGACTGAATTTTGATATGTTTTGTACGTTTGCATGTTAGATTTCACTAAGTTTAAGGGAAAATGTTTAACAAAAAATAATATAAACTTGTTAAGTAAGTTCAAGAAGTAGAGTTTTCTGTATAAGTAAACCTAACAGTTCTAATCTTATTCTTTTTGTCTCCCCATGCTATAAATCTTTGGCTAATAACAGGTCAAGGTAGACAACCACTATGATTTTCAGGATATAGCCAGTGTCGTAGCACTCACTCAGACCTATGCCACTACTGAACCCTACATAGACTCCAAATATGACATCAGGATCCAAAAGATAGGCAACAACTACAAAGCATACATGTGAGCAAACATTCTGTTGTTTTTTCATTTTCAGTTCCATCAGCTGTAAAGCAGGTAACAACCAGACTTTATGGCCTTGCATGAAAGTTCACCATTATCCCAGTGTGGAATCTACAGTGCATCAGTAATACTGTGAATCAGTGAGTAAAAAAATGGGGATTCTTAAAAAAAGGATATTAAGAAATTGAGAAATTCAGATTAGAATAATTTATCTTTTAAAGTGATGTGCAGTAGAATGCAAACAAAACTTTATATAATTCCTGAACATAAAAACAAAACAGAGGGATTCTGCACAATAAACTAAAAAGACAGGGATAGCTTGAAGAAACATCCACTGGAAATTGCCCTAGAGTTATTTTCCATATTTCAAAATAACCACAAAATCCTAAAGGGGGGGGACAACTCTCTTTTCAAGATTTTTTCCTTGCGAACAGACAAGCAAATTATTATCTATGAATCACATTGAAAGGTTACTCAGAACAGTTATCTGTTCTGAAAATTATAATGTATAATTCTCAAATTACTTGCCATAAGGCAAACCAAATATGTAAGAAGTTAGATTGACACTGAACCAGGCTGTTGATGAAAAACTCTGCAAGACTATGCAGAACTCCTTGTTAATCCAAAGGCAATGTGTCTAGTTCTCTACTTTGTGTAAGGTGATGTTACATAATATATTTTTACAAAATGACCCACTGCCAAGTGATTTAGGAAACATAACTCATAAATTCAGTCCATTGTCTTTAGCCAGTATAGAAGCAATTTCCAAGCACATGGTTTGTAGGTGTTTTATAAGTTTCTCTACTGAATACCTATCAATAAGTGCCTAGTTGTTATTGGCTTGTGATGACACAAAAGTGGGTTTTCCCACTGATGGTACTGGTGTTATAGAATGCACTCCCTGCTGTAATAGGAGAAGGGCTGTCCCCATTGGCATTCTGCTGGCTTTTGAAGACACACCTGTTTACACAGGCATTCCCTTGATCTCCCGCCCCAAGTCTCCAGCTATCATTACTGTGTGTTTTAATGGGATTGTTTTATTGAGTATTTTAATTATGGCTGCTTGTAACCTGTTTATATACTTGTAGAACGTTTGGAAACCTATTTCGGCACTAGATGGTATATGCATTATTAAATAATCATAAAAATAATACTCAGGATGAAAGGAAACAGATTTTATTAGGACATGATGAAAGCCCATTTCATCAGAGGCATGATAAGTGATTCTCAGTTGTCATATATATATGCATGTTTAAAAAGGGTAATGTAAGGGTTGCAGGTTATGTGACAACACCATAACAAATATCATTAGCCTTTTAGGTGTCACAATATAGGTACCCCACCCCCACTTACAAACAACCCATTTTTGTGCAACCACATTTGCACAGGCTACCGTGAAATATAAATAAATAAATGGACTGGTCTTCCCTCGCTCGTGGATGCTGCCTGAGCAAGGAAAGGCGGCTTTCAGTTAACCAGCCGGGCAGGAGGTGCCTTCCCCCGCCTCCACTGTGCATCCACACACCCCATCTGGCAGCGGTTCCGCTGGGCATCCTTCTCAGCCCTCACCCTCCGTGGCCAGCTGCTGCTGTCAGACGCACCGGCTCCCTTCAGGGAAGCAGGCAAGCTCAGGACAGGCGGGACACAATCTCACTTATGTGTGGAGGTTCTGGAACGTAGCCTGTATGTAAGTGGGGGGATGCCTGTACTTTTGTTGGTCAGGGTCTGCATAAGAGTAGAACAGGCAGCAAAAGGTTAGGTCCTCTTCAGGAAGTAGCCAGGGCCAATGGGGGGGGGGAGGACACACCTTTATCTTTAACCTTTAGTTAAATTTAGGTAGCTACTGAATCATTTAGAATATTATGTCCCTTTTCCCAGCCCCAAGAAGCTGTCAGAACGGCTTGCAAAAGAGTCTCACAATACTATATACGGTTTCTGGACTACAGCTGCCCTCATCGTTGACCATTGACCATGGAACTGAGGCTAATGGAGTTTTAAGTCCAATAACATCCGGAGGGGCCACAGTCGCTGCCATAGTTGGGTCAAACCCGGAAGATGTCCCATTTAGATTTGTTGCTGAATTTTGCCCAAATTGGCTTTTCTGAGAGAGTTACGATGGGATCCAGCAGGTTATCCTCCATGCCGGTGGCTGGGATCAGGGTAATTTCGTTTTCTGCAAAACTCCTGTAGACGCAGTGAACTGCATAAATTGGAACCTCCCTGCTGCCCCTGGGAATTTATATGGCAAGGCAGAGGCTACAAGGCTAATGTGTATGTTTAGATGGGCCTGTTTCCTGTAGCAGTATAATTGAAAATGAAGCAGCGTCATAAAGATTATATTTCCTGTGAACTTGGGACCAAGGTCTTTATTGTATATAGACCTTGAGAGAGTTGTTAAAGGATACTGAAGGAGTAACTAATCTACATTAAATGATCTTGAGTGTGTACCCATTACTGTCATCCTATTTGGACCCTACCGTTTCATTTCATTCCACACTTTACAGTCTCTTTCTATTATTATAGTAACACGTTGTGGAATAAATCACATGCTCTATTTCCACGGTCTGTTTAGTGCAGGCATTCAGTTCAGTTCTCAATGCTTTTATTGCATTCGTTGTCTTAGCTGCAATGACTACATAATTCAGTTTGTTTCCCATTTCTGTTTTATTGCTTGTTTTCATTTCAGCAAGTTCCTAAGTGCATTGAATAGTTCTGTCATGTCTGTTAGCCCAGCTGAACTTGAGTCGCCTCATCCTTCTTCTGTAGCGCAGCTTTGATGCATATTTGTAAACGCCGTTCGTCTGACTTTTCGATTCCACTACCATTCATAGTGATCATTTTAGACATCCATGTTATTTTTGCAACATGTTTTAGAATGTTTGGTTGAAATAGGGAGGAAGACGCTCACTCACCCTGTCCAAACACAAAGAGGAGCAAGTAGGAAGCCGTGGGAAGAGAAGAATTTCCTAGCTATGGATCCTTGTAAGAGTAGCTGGATACAAAAGCATTAAGAACATTGATAAGAATTTCTCCTCCACTAGTAAGTGCCCTGAAAATCTACAGCCCTGCTGCTAAATTTTAATTATATGTGTTTCCATGCCTTATCTTTATAATATTATGCAGCAGATGTGGAACACAGTTGTCCGGTTCTCATGTCACAGTAAGCCAGACCATGGCTTGATGTGGACATGCAGGCTCCTGTAAAGGAGATCATGGCTACTTTGTCCCTCTCTGGTCAATCATCTGCTGCACTGCACTAAGACATGCTTTGACTTAGCATGACATCTGAACCTGGAGCCATGGTTTACATCTCCTGAACAAACCACAATACATAAACGAGAGCACAAACCTTTGTTAGAGCTCGAGATTACTCTGGAGAGTTAAACCATAAGCCTGGTCTCGGATGTCGCACTTAAGCCAAAATCTGGCATACCTTAGCACAGCAGCAGAGAAGCAAAATGGCTGTGATTCGCTTGCACAGAGCCTGGGCTTATGGCATAGGGCCATCATTTGGTTTATCATGATACACAAATCAGGCCAGTATGGCTTGTGTAAATGTAGCTTTGGGATCTTGTGTGAGTTGCAAGTGAAGCAGGGAGATTCAGTCCAGGTTAATAACAAGAATAGCAACAAAAGACATAATAGTCATTGCCATTTTATTGGAAACGTTCCAGGGATTGGGTGCAACTGACCTCTCCTCAAAACGCAAGGGTACGTATAGAAGGACCTCTGAAGATGCTCTCAGAAGTTCAGAAGAACTCACGTGGGAATAGGTTGCCCTTTAGCTGCCTAAATGTCTAAGCTGTGTGGGATTTTTAAGGTTAATACCATCACTTTCAACTGTGCTCAGAAATGGATCAAGAGCCAATAATACCATATAGTGATTAAAAAAATGATGGTTCTTACGACCATATAATGTTTTTTTTCTAAACAATATACCCACAGTTAAAATTGTTCAAGTTCTACATCAATATTGTCACTGTTCACAAACCATGGCCTCCAATACAATGGTAGATTTAAACATATTTTTGTGAGAAGTTGTTGTGTAGTTAGTTTTTCCATTTCATACCTGTACATTATTTTCAGTTATAATTTATCAAGGGAAGAGGGGTGTCTAGCAGAATATTACAAACTGAGGGTTCGTCCAAACTTCCACTTCCCCCCAGGGAAACCCAGTCTTTATTGCTGAATCAGAAATGCCTCAGAAGTATGGGACAAGTGGAAAATCTCTTGGACCTGTGCTTTCTAAGCATGGGGCAAGCTGCAGTGAGGATGAGCCCTTAGAGACAATTTCCTTTGACTTTCACAGTTTAATCAGGGTTAAAAATGAACTTGGTCCATTGACTCTAAATCAACATGAAACTTTTATTACGCTTCACAAGTTCAGATATGTTTAGTCAATAGCTTGATATTCCACAGCTGGTTTTCATTCGTGAGTGAGCTTTTAACACAAGCACAGAATATCGAAGAGCCTCCACAGGAAATATAAGCTATTTTAGAGTTTTAAATCTACTATCTAAATATCTACTGTTGTAATCTTCTGTGGTGTTATGTTGTAGCAGGTAGAGAACTCACATTATAGGTGACTTATTATATGCCAGCTATCAGATAACTAGGATATAGTATGGAGTCAATCCAAATACCACAACTCCTGCAAATGTTTAGAGATTCCTACATATGGATATGAATATAAATGCATCGCTGTTTCAAGGAAACACCATGGGGTGAAAAGGAAACAAACACAGTAGGAACAAAATTGCACTCATGTTGGATTTTCTCATATTACCTTGTCTTTCTCCAAAACCAATATACTAAAGGCATAAATTTATGTATTAATACGGAAAAAACACACTGTTCTAAATTATAATCTGTTCTATAGATTCAGACCTCACAGTGTGATGATGAATAGTAAACCTCTGTATAAAGTCACATAATTATTGTTACAGAACACAAATTAAGGGTCAAGCCCATGTTACTATTCTGCATACAGCAGAGAAGTTCTCACTTTTAGCACAGCTGCACTAAGTTCAAATTCATAATTTTATTCTTTTTTAAAAAATATAACTTATCTGAGTCAGGAAAGATAGCTATGGGTTGGTTCAGTACACAAATAACATTTATTTTCATGAGTGTCTTCTTTCCTGTACACATCAGATTTAAATGCACTTATTTATTTGGGGAGGTAGTTGAATATAATGTTTGTTTCATGTTAATCTTTTTGGAAGTTCCTTTGCATGCTATTTCGTTTTTTAAAAAACCCCAAAAGTTAGCAATTAATAAGCTAATGATAAGAACAAAGAGGTTGGTGTAATGCTTGCTAAAACATTTATATTTCTCCACAGGAGGACTTCAATATCTGGAAACTGGAAGACAAACACTGGATCTGCAATGTTGGAACAAATTGCCATGTCAGATAGGTAGATGAGTCTTGATGCAATAAGAAATCATGGATGTGCCTAATTGGAATAATAATAATAATAATAATAATAATAATAATGGGAATACAACTGAATTTTTTAGAAGTGTTGTGGTTGTTGTATGTGCAGCACCAGCATACTTTTGCTAACGTTGCATCTGCTCAAAGTTTGAGTGGATGGAGAGCAGACATTTAAGGGAGAAACTAGCCCTTTAATAGATTCTCTGAGAATTCATTATCCAAGAGCTTCTATCTTTCTCTATCAGCTTTTGCTTTCCATTGCCATTTATATTCTTACTTGCATGGAAAACACTGAAAAAATCTTTTTTAAAACACTGATAAACTGTTTAAAATCAACATCAACTTGATACCAATAATGTTAATGTGTTCCCCCACTCCATTCACCTTGGCCCTCTTCAGTCATTCTCTACACATACAATGCATGAGTTTGAGAAAGAGGGTAATGGAACGAGTCTCAACTTCATGTGTCCTGCTTGCCTTCCTGACATTCATGTGTATAAGCTATGTGCACATAAGTGTGCCTTTTGAGATCTTCTGCAGAGAGGGTTGAAAATTCTGCTGTCCGTGCACCCCATTGTTAAGCTCTTGGGGGGAGATCTTATTCAGGTCACAATGTTTCAGGACTTCAAGATACTAGATTATCAGCTTTGAAAAAAGAAACCCAAACATTTAGAACAGCTAGTTCATGTTAACGGCTTATAACAGTAGGGGTTCTATGCTCCAAGGCCAAAAACAAGAGTTTTCATGCATGACTTTATTAAAGCAAGCTTTAAAATTTCATATCTGAGCTTGTAAGCTATAACCCAGTCAATTGCAATTGTTGAGATGACAGATAAGTGAGATGCACATCATATCCTGAAAGGTGGGAAAAGGCAATAAGGCATAGCTTCCAGAAAACAGTAAAGTGAGATTATAATTCCACATCTCGAAGGTTTATTATGGGAAATGTTGACCAATTTATTCCTACCCCTTTCAGAGGGCCAAACTAGATGTTACAAAGAAGATGTATGGAATAGTTTCCCAATATATATATATATTTAACTGAAATGCAGGAGAAGAGGCTGTTGAATCCCGTTCTCCCCAGCCGTTTCTTCTCTCAACTTCATTCCCGCCGCCTACCAGCTGCTTTCCACCACCACCAGGACAATTATAAACTGTAGTTTGGCCCTAGAGTGTGAGAACAAAGAAGAAGTACCCTTTTGCCAAAGTGGCAAAAATTGGAAGTGGCCCCTTTGGTGTATGTTAGAAATTGTATGCTTTGGATCTGCATTAGATTGCATCTGTCACATGCCTGACTCCTAAAAACAACAACACTATGCATACATGTTTTTACTGAGCAGCCTTTAGGCTCAAGGCAAGCCTTCCGTTCTTAATATTTGTTTCCATATGTGGCTGTTTTTTCAGCTTTATGCATTGTATATGAAAACTGACTTCAATAAGATCTTCTGAGTGTTTCTTTGGTTTCATAGGAATAGCCTTTCAAAATAAGGTTCCTTTGTTTGGATTGGTTTTCCTCCAGATTTACCATTAAAAGAAACAACCCTTCTCCTAGATTCAAGAGACTATAGCACTTTACAGCAAGAATGGCTTATAAACAAATAAAGCCAATTATGACGGTCAGCACTTCTACAGATGTTGAATTTGACATGCATCCAAGAAACAACTTCAGAAATGAAGTCATACGAGAAATAAGCCACTCCTTTCATTCCACAAGATTTCATCAATAATAGTTCAGACCATTTTTGCAAATGTCTGTGCCTAGCTTTTTTATTTAAAGAGAAACCATTCTACTGGAGCAGATTTCAATTAGTAACAACGATAGATAGCAGGATAACCAGTGTGGTGCTCTGCAGATGTTGTTGAACAACCGTTCCCATAATCCTTGACCATTGGCCATGTTGACTGAGTCTGATGAAAGCAATTGTCCAACAACATCTGGAGGACACTTCTTTGTCTGTCCTTTAAGGGTATTCAATTCAAGCACATCACGTTGGTTTGGGTAAGTCTGACTTCCAATCAAGCAGGTTTAGCATCACAGCCAATTTTCAGGCTGCTTACCATGTTACACAGTGGCAAAGGCCTGTTTGACCGCATGTACATGCACCAGGGACCTTCAGTCAGTGCTAATTACGGCTTCATGTGCTGATATGTTAGAAATGACCATGCTTTGCTGTTTGCACATGTTGTACTTTTATGGTTCGGAATATAATGCTTTATGTTACAGTCCCATTAAAAGAAAGCCTGACGCTGAACTGAGGGCATTAGGATAAGTGAAGTTGCCAGTGTGAGGGCAACTCAGAAGCACAAAATATCAGATGTCTCAGATCTGGTTCACTTATGCAACAATCTCCCTTAATGAGCAATTTGATAATCAGAAATATTTGGAGAAGGTTATATAAGAGCTAATGTGGTGATGATTTGTATTAGCACCAAGGCACGGTTACAATCTAAATTCAAACTAATATAGCTAGAACACTATTGTGACAAGATCATGCTTTTGGTTAAAGTGAGCTTCTTTTCACATTCCAGGTACAAGTTCTGGATTGACAGCTGTTCAGAGATGTTTGGAGGTTTGGACATATGTGCTGTAAAAGCAGTTCATGGCAAGGATGGGAAGGATTATATTTTTGAGGTGTGGTATATGCTTTTCCTCTGCCAACACTTTTGTTGTTGTTGTTGTTGCTGTAAGATATTAAGGAAAACCTCTGCTCCTAAAGATTACACTTGCCTTTTTTTGCATATTTCAGTAAATGGCACTGCTTGTGGGAAAGCACAACTGTTTCATGATGTGGTGTAAGCTTGCTTCTGAATAGGATCAAAATACTTGCATTGTATTTCCCTAATCCTTCTGCTTTCCATTTAAGTGAACACACCTCTACTGCTTTAGTGCAAGATTTATAGGCCACCTTTTCCCAAGAGAAATCGCCCCAAAATACATCTTTATATAAAAAGGGAAAATAAGGATACAGTAAAATTCTTCCTCTCCCCCCCTTAAAAAAAGTATCCTGCATTATAATTAGATAAAACATACTGTTGTATGCTACTGAACAGTCGAATGTCTGTCCCTGATAGTTTGTGGGATAAACAAATGTTCTTTAATTCATGTAAACCACACACCACTTTGGATTACTTAGCAAACAGGAAGATTTCGAAGTTTGGTAAATCCATCTGCCCAAGGATGCAGGCTTTGGCTTGGGTCCAAAGGTTTCTAGTGGAAGCAGAAAGACACTTTACTCACATGAGTAGATTTTCACAGGTCTCCTCCCAATGCTGCACGCCATTCCCAAGGCTCTCCCAACTCTTAGGACCAGTTTTTTCAATGCAGCACTTGGGCTGTAGCAGGAACAAGAGGTCAGGAAAGCCATATTCCATCAGCAGAATGTTGCTAGCTTTTATTTTATTAATGTGATTTACATAAACTTAAGGCTCATCACAGTCAGGGTTCAGGCTGTGTTATGGGTTGGACTGAATGAACCTTGGTCACCCTAATCAAGACCGTATTATTATTACCGTACTTGATCTCTCAACAGCTTTTAATGTCATTGACCATGATATCTTCCTTTACCAGCTCTGTGAAATGGGAAACAGGGGCACTGTTCTCCCTCCAGTTCTCTCTCCAGGATTGGTTTCATTGGATAGCATTGGACTATTGTCTCAGAGCCCCTGGGTGTCATGGAGTGGGGTATCTCAGGATACAATCCTGTCCCTAGTGCTATTTAACATCTACATGAAGCCACTGGAAGTGGTTTTGGGAGTTTTTGGTGAGGTATCATCAGCAAACATAGTTTGCTGATGATACCCAGCTTTATTTCTCTATAATGCATGAATTAAGAGAAGCTGTGCAAGCCTCTCCTATGCCTAGACTTGGTGGTGGGCTGGATAAGGGCCAGTATCCTGACTCACTCCTGACTTTGGTTGGTGGGTTCCTTAATCTGCACAATTGGTCAATGACCTACTTTGCATGGGGTTGTTCATTCCCATAAACAGTAGGCTCCATCTTAAAATCACTTTTTCTCTGCAACAACATTGTTGAGTAGGTTTTTAAATTTCACCATGAAAACTCAGGTTAAGAAAGAGACCAGTGTAGATAAGGGATAAGGAATCTGCGGTGCTCTAGATGTTACTGGACACCAGTTCCCATCATCTCAAGCCAGCATGGAAATTGGACATGGATGGTGGCAGTTGAGACCCAACAATAATAATAATATAATAATAATTTATTATTTAAACCCCGCCCATCTGGCTGAGATTCCCCAGCCACTCTAGGCGGCTCCCAATCAAGTGTTAAAAACAATACAGCGTTAAATATTAAAAACTTCCCTGAACAGGGCTGTCTTCAGATGTCTTTTAAAGATAGGATAGCTGCTTATTTCCTTCACATCTGAAGGGAGGGTGTTCCACAGGGTGGGCACCACTACACTCTCTGTCTGGTTCCCTGTAACCTCACTTCTCACAATGAAGGATCCGCCAGAAGGCCCTTGGCACTGGATCTTAGTGTCCGGGCTGAATGATGGGGTGGAGATGCTCCTTCAGGTATACAGGACCGAGGCTGTTTAGGGCTTTAAAGGTCAACACCAACTCTTTGAATTGTGCTCGGAAACGTACTGGGAACCAATGCAGATCTCTCAGAACCGGTGTTATGTGGTCCCGGCGGCCACTCCCAAATTCTAGAGAGCCGCAGATTCACCTCAGTCTGATTTAGATGATTAATATATATTGCCACTTCTGGTCTGTTTTCTGTAATAACCATGCACAATTGTTTTCTCTAGCTCATAAGTGCCATGTGAATTGTTTGCTGTAGGGGGATTCAGCATGTTTTCCATTTGCAGGCCAACAGCATGTGCTGTTGTCCCCTTCATTTCTTTTTCTGGTTCTGGTCTCCTAATCTTATGACATGTTACTTAACCCTTTCTGTCTGCCCAGATATATATTTTTTGTACTTTTACAGTGCATTTCTTTATTTGTCTACCTAAAAGTGAGCTCAATGAGGTTCAGTCATACTTTCTTCCAAGTAGACTTACCCTCAATTATTTGTGTACAAGATTACAGCTTCAGGCTTATTATTATTATTATGCAAATTATCTTTTACACAAGTCTCAAGGCAATTTACAAGCATGCAATAAAAACTACCATAAGTAGATTTAAAAGCAGTACAAAAACAACTTAATATGGTTTCAAAAACAACACAAATTAGCAGCTAAGACTATTTCTTTAAAAGAAAACACACACCAACATTTTAGGTTGATATTTTGTTATATATCATTTATGGGGGGGGGGTTGTGTAACATATTACTACACTAGACCAAGATGATTCCATCCAATTGTCCAGTGGCCATAATCTCTTGCCAAATTAGGTTCACCTAAACCCATGCTTAACTCTCTCTTGTATTATGATTTATGCCTCTTTTAAAAAATGAGAGAAAAATAATAATCTGAATCTATTCTAATAATTTCATAAAGGTAGGTATGCGGGGGCCCAAGCTATAAAGATAAAAACAAACCAGTTCAAGTGTCATTCTTTCAGATGAACTTTAATAATAAACTTCTAATGAAAACTACAACAAAAATAAACTTTTTCTTCCGGGGAATGTTTTATAGAAACCTTGAAGCTGCAATTATATCCAAATGAGGTATAGAAGATAATACTTGACTGTTCAAATGATAATTTTAGAAACCATTAAACTTGCTGGCAGACTAGTTACATAATCCTAGCTGTATTGTTTGGCATCAAAGCTTTTGTTGGCATGGATAACTCAAGAGTAGTTGTGGGGCAGCAATAGCAAAAATAATAATGGTGATCAGAACAGCTGATATCTCTTGTCCATTTGTTCACCATTAAAAAAATCAATTATAAACACAAGTAAGTAGTTCATTTTGTTATTAGGGATTTATTAAGTTGGAGGAATTATTATCTTACTATCCTCAGAAGGAGATGTGGAAATTTTAGCCTGTAAAAGCCAGACAGGATCATTATAGATAATTGCTGGTCTGCTGAAATTTATAACAGTGTCTTGATCTTTTCTTTAAATACATAGGGTAGTTCTGCTGTGGTCAGAAGAATATTGGGATGGTGGAGAAATGTCATAATTCTGAACCTGAGCTCTAAACCACACACTTCTGTACATACTCCTTTACATAACACTATTGTTCATCCACTGTGCTGTAACTGTTCCTGGGACATTGTGCTTGAAGCTGGACTGTAACAGCCTGGGCCAGTTACTGAGGAGATCTGGAACTGTTCTTCTGATCCAGCTTCTCTATGACATCTTCAGCCCCCAGTGCCATAGGTCTTGAAACCAATACATATTCCAGTAAGCATTCTGTGTCCACTCCCCTACCCAGTACTTTCGCTTTATTAAATAAATAATGTTCTCTTTGGCTGGGGAGCAAAAGTTGTGAGCATGTGGCTGCTTCTAATGCCCCACATAGCCACACATAAAAAGAGCAGGTGCTGTTGCTGGAGATTTCTCAGTGTTCAGTGTGTCCACATAGTCAAGGACAGACTTACATTGTCTGATGCCACATCATATCACAACCATACCACATCAAGGAGCCATGCCGCATATTCTCCCAAAGACCAGTTGAAATCACCCATCCAGTTTTTCTTGCAAGATACGTTTTTAAAATTATACTTTGGCTTAGTTTCCTTCCCATGTTACAAAAGAAAAATTGAGTGACTTCCACAAATCTCCCCAACTTTCCTGATGAACAAAACTGAGATTTGGACATAGAGAATTTTAAATTTTTGTAATAATAATAATAATAATAATAATAATAATAATAATAATAATAATACCCTGCCCATCTGGCTGGCTCACAGCATATATCGAAATACTCGATTTATTTACAATCACCCACAGCACAATATGGATAACAATAATGGTCTGTAACACAGCATAAACAAATTACTAAAATGATATTTCACTGCCTAATCAGCTTTTGTTTCTTCTAGGTTATGGATTGTGCAATGCCTTTGATTGGTGAGCATCAGGTTGAAGACAAACAGCTTATTACTGAGCTGGTTGTAAGCAGAATGAACCAAATGTTGTCTAAAACACCTGTACCATCTCCTCAGAAACCAACTGCCACTCAGCAGCCTCAAGTAAGGAATGCAGACACTCTTCATAAACACATGCAGGATTTCAGTAGATAAATGTCATGATGATTGAGGACCTGTTGAGCTGTTGTTATTAGAAGGGAGTGGATAGTAAAAATGGAGTGTGATTTTTGTGCTTCCTTAGAACAGAATTTCAAGCATCATATATTTAAAATATCCAAGCAAGAGCTCATCAATAAAGTTGCGACATTACTTTGGGCATATAAATGATATTAAAGGTTTCTGAATATGTTGCAGTGGGATAAGCTGAATCAACAGTCTTGACTCCAGTTTGCTCCAATGTGCTTTGTTTTCACTCACTTCTTTAAGTAATCATCAAAGCTGGTACAAAGGGCTCTGTGCATCCATGGTTTTGTGGCCATGCTGGTTTTACTTTTATTTTATTTATTTAAAATATTTATATGCTGTCTTTCCCAAGCTCAAGGCTGTCAAAATGCTATGAAATACTGTGAAACTGTAAATAAAGATATAACAACAATGTAACTTAGCAACTAAAAATATTCCCAAGACAACTATGCAATCAAATCAGCCTCCAGAAGCCACTCAAGTAGTTTGCAAACTTTATGGAAAGCAATAGGCTCAGTCATTCTAGAGCCAAAGCAAACTGCAGTAAAAGCAGCAGAGTCTGATCAGATGAGTTTATAATCAGCATAAGTATTCATAGCTGGTGGTCATTTACTCCGAGGTCAAAAGAGAAAGAGCGAGCTCCTAGTTGTCCACAATTTCTTTTTTGCACCTCTAACATGCTCAAACTGGGATCTGTTCTTAGATTGTGGAAGTCAATCTAGTATGCTAATAGCCAAATATTTTCACTTGGGAAAAAGCCCAATAGATGAGTTTTGTTTCCTGCTAAGACTTTAAGGGCCTTTCCTCATGTTATGCTTGTAATGTGAAAACTACAGGAATAATTTCAGTATAGAAAGTGATTCGCTGCATGGATTGCCCCTGTCGTCTAGAAAGTTCCCATGCCATTGTTAGCCATTCCATAGTTGCCCACTGGTATAGAAACTCTACATGATGGAAGTGTTCCATATAGCTAGTCTTCTGTGGCCACCATGCAGAGGCTGTTTCCTGTGGCCTCCATATTTTGTAAATGTGTCATGGAGACTGGACCTGACAGAACCTCCCATCAGGTTTAGTTTACTACTGAACCAAAAGAAAGAAAAAGGTTAGTTACTGACTTTGGTTTGATGTTCTTGCTGTTGTCCATCTGAATCTATCTGTTTTGCATGCATTTCATTTCAGCAAGCACATCTAATATGAAGGGACTCGGTTAACTCTTGCTCCTGGTTTGTGATTCAGAACTTCAGTTGAGACGATGAGCAATAGTCTGTGTTTTTGTGTCTTATTTTGCTTTGATTTCAGCCATTGACTGTTTTGGGGTATCACAGAAACATCTGGGATCACAGTTTATTGATTCCTAAGCCTAGCTTAGGTTGAGCCAGAAAAGGTAGAGCTATCTTGCCATATCGTTGCTGTGACGTTTCAGAATATGCAAGCAACTGATGACCACATACCATCAATCAATCAATCAATCAATCAGTCAATCAATCAATCCCCTTTTCATTCCTTCCTCATGTTAGCCATCACCTCTCATCGTGATCAGGTCTGGAGGGTGGGGATAAATTTGAAAGAGAATTAACTCCTGGAAGATACCACCCTAGTGCAGAGTGATTCGACTGTAGACCATAGTTCTGTGAATATAAGTGTCTGTGCCACTTTTCGGGGGGGGGGAGCTTCAAAGAAGCAATGGAAAAATAAATTGTGCTTATGGTAGCTGCTAGGGACGCGGGTGGCGCTGTGGGTTAAACCACAAAGCCTAGGACTTGCTGATCAGAAGGTCAGCGGTTCGAATCCCCGCGACGGGGTGGGCTCCTGTTGCTCGGTCCCTGCTCCTGCCAACCTAGCAGTTCGAAAGCACGTCAAAGTGCAAGTAGATAAATAGGTACCGCTCCGGCAGGAAGGTAAACGGCATTTCCGTGTGCTGCTCTGGTTCGCCAGAAGCGGCTTAGTCATGCTGGCCACATGACCCGGAAGCTGTACGCCGGCTCCCTCGGCCAATAAAGCGAGATGAGCACCGCAACTCCAGAGTCCGTCACGACTGGACCTAATGGTCAGGGGTCCCTTTACCTTTATGGTAGCTGCTAAATGGCAGTAATTGGACTGAAGTGATATGATGCAAGTTTCAAAGATAAACAAGCAAGCAAAAAAACTATTTATATTCTCAAAAGGGGCCCACATCAGTTAAACAATTGAAAAACTAAGTTTGTGGTGCACCTCAAATCAGCTTGTTCTTGGAGGATAGTGACTAATTTTTGTTTTAAATTTTGTCATGTTCTCCGAGTAAAAAATAATGCAATTCCACAGAACCACGTGGTAATGCTTCTATTTTGTACTGTACCACTTGAAAGGCAACACAAAATTATTTCAGTCTCATCTAACCACATACAGTGACTAAACTTCATTGTAAAGCGGTTTTAAAAGAATAGCCACATAAACCAAAATAGAGAAATTACTTTCTTCTATAAAAACATTTTTCACATTTAGATCAAACTATGCTATGCTGTGTAAATAGTTACTTGTTGCTGTTGTTGAAGATGAGATCATTTTCCAGAAAAGATCAGCAGACAAAAAGATCAGCACATTTATATTTCCTCTGCAGGTAGAAAATGAGGATGGGTGGGAATTAAAACTATTTTTAATTCTTAAGGAGGCAAATTCCTGCCATGTTGTGCAATGCTGATATTCATCTACAGAATTTCATTTTCTGATTTTCAGTACACGAAAGTGAATGGAGGTCAACAGCAGATTCTGAATTTCTCTAAGGGCTCTAAAATTATATAGATACTCTTAAGTGATTGTGAGGGTTAACTATTTGTTTTCTTAAGAGCATAATACAAGCTAATAGATTTTGGTGCATTCTTTTAGTACTTTATGATGCAACTGAGGATACAGTAGCCCTTAAACATACTATAGTACATCAGTCTGTCACTACTGGCACACTGGGTCACTGCATCTGGCTGTTAACCAGAAGGTTGCTGGTTCAAGCCCACCAGGAATGGTTGCAGGCAGGATTCCCTGCATTGCTGAGGGTTGGACTAGATGATCACCAGCGTCCCCTCCAACTCTGCATTTCTATGATTCTACAGTCATACTCTTTAGTACTTTAAGCATGAATTCTGTTTTGTGGGATTTCAAGTTACACAATCTGAAAGCCAAAGCCCACGGGGGCTCAAGTTCTCATTCAAAAGCATCTCTTTTATTTTTAACCTGTGTATCTATGTAGCTCTTTCATTGTATCAATCAGCTCTCAGCACTAACAAGAACACAGTTTAGCGGCAATCTCTGTTGCCTACAATCCTGTCGCTTCCTGAAAAACTAGTCATCAACTGCGGTTCAGGCAGGTGGCGTATCAGCCCCATCACCATTCTGAGAAGAAAACCTGTCCTCTTGTACTGGTAGGAGAAGCCTCCAGGCTAAAAACTATTCTGAGTCTCATTTCTGAAAACACCTTTTGTTTTAAGAACCTTCAGATTTTAGCGCCATCTCGTGGAAATCCTGCTTTGAACAAGAGTCCTTTTGAGCTAGTTTATTGAGGGCTATAGAATACATTTCCAAACTGAATGAGCCAGAAAGAAATTTTTGTTTCTGCTTATTCTGCTAGCTTTGATGGAGTGCTTACGGGCCATTATCCAGTGCCTATGGTGTGGTTAAACTGATCTAAGCTGAATCAATGAAATCATAAACAATGACTGATTAATAATAATAATAATAATAATAATAATAATAATTTATTATTCAAACTGAGCTGTTTGTGTCAGTCTGGGATCCTGACCTTAAACATTTGCATAAGCCAACCTATGCACTGGGTTTTATTAACTGTGCTTAGAATTTATTAGAAAACAGATCATGTCCTAATTTTCTACAGAACAATTTTGCTCTTGTATTTGTCATTTGTCTGAGCTCCTCTGCTAAGGTCTCAGAGCCTGTCATTAGGATGCTGGAACTAGAACAAGAAATAATAATGCCTCCATGCAAGCAGGAAGCCTCTCTGTGTTTTTTTTTTTGTGTGTGTGTGTGTGTGTGTGTTTTTGTGCTGTTTCAAGCCTAGCAGTGAGATTTCCCCCTGACCAAACACCTGCATCTGAGAGTTTTGTAGTCCAAGGATCAATGCTCTTCCATGGGATCCCAAAGGAGTCACAGTGGCTGAGCCAAAAGTTCCCTTCCCATTTTCATAGTGAGGAAAGGGATAGTGACAGCTGCATTGAAAATATTGCAAAAGGTTTGCAATAAGAGACAGAGCTAACCACATTAGTAGAAATTGTGTGTTCCAGAGATTGCCAATTACTTCCAATCTGGGTTTTACTTTTCCTGGCTTCTCCATACTTCCACATCAGAATAGGTTTGTAAAGTGCCACTTTATACATGCCAGGTGCCCTTTGCATAGTGTTGGGGAAATATGTGCAAGGGTGATGTCTTCTATTTCCAGTGTAGGAGGTACTGCCTTGTTTTAGCCTAGGGCCACCTGCTTGTGGAGAGTGAATGATGACAGTCTCAAAACAACTAGATTGAGGGAATCCAGCACACACACACACACACACTCTGCAGGTGCTGACAGTAGGATACAGGAGATTTACAGACATGGTTATTGCAAGCACACCTGCTGACTCAGTGCACCAGCAGATGGAGCTGTTGTTACATGACAGCAAGATATATAGCTTAGTTCTTGGGGGCCTGTTTTTTCATTTTGCTTGTTTGCAGCTGAACTTTATGAATAATGAAAAGCACTTCTCAAGAACTAGGAGATCTGTTTCTTCACTGTTTAAAAGAAACCATATAACAATAATCTTGTAAATGAACATTTATCCTCTGCAACATGCATGCAGACCATGAGACCCTTTTAAAGACATGATCTCTGTAGCATAACCTCTATGTTGCCAATACCAAAAACATCCCAAGGAAAGGCACAGGAAAATTCTAACGGAGCTCTTCTGCTTCGAAAAGAACTGCTGAGCAGAAAGATAGAAGACCGAAAGATGCTAACAATAACCAATGATTTCCCATTACACATAATACTGGTATCATAAGCAGTGGTACCTTGGTTCTCAAACGGTTTGCGAATGTTTTTCTGAAGCTGAACATCTGATGCGGCTTCCGCTTGAGTGCAGGAAGCTCCTGCAGCCAATTGGAAGCCGCGCCTTAGTTTTTGAATGGTTTCGGGAGGCGAACAGACTCCCAGAATGGATTACGTTTGAGAACCAAGGTGCCACTGTACACATGATACTAGTATTCAGGTGGCTGGGTGCTCACTGGAGCAAGATGGTTTGAGCATTTAATGCCAATTCTGGCCCAGCTGCACAGGCTGCCAGTTAGTTTCTAAGCGCAATTCAAAATGCTAGTTTTGACCTATAAAGCCTTAAACAGCTCAGGACCGCAGTACCTCAAGGACTGCCTTTCCCCATATGAATGGACCCTGGCCCTGCAGTCATTCTTCATGTGCCTCGTCTTCAGGAGGGCAGCAAAATGACAACGGGTCTTTTCTGTGGTGGCTCCCCGCTTGTGGAGTGCTCTCCCCAGGGAGGCCTGCTTGGCGCCTTCATTACATATCTTCTAAGTGCCAGACGAAAACATTCCTCTTTCCCAGACCTTTGGCTAATTAAACAACCTCTGGCCTTTTAAAATGTGGCAGAGTTGTTGTTTCTGTTTGTTACTATGGTGTGTATTTTGGTGTTTTTATTATTGTAAACTGTCCTGTGATCCTCGGATGAAGGACGGTATAGAAATTTAATAAATAGATAAATAACATACAGATGAACAAAAAAAAAAAATTACCGTATTTTTTGCACCATAACACTCACTTTTTTCCTCCTAGAAAGTAAGGGGAAATGTCTGTGCGTGTTATGGAGGGAATGCCTACAGGTGGCATGCCTACGGATTTTCCTTCTCTAAAAACTACGTGCGTGTTATGGTCGGGTGCGTGTTATAGAGCGAAAAATACGGTATCCAAAAAATTGCATGCACACTTCACACGAAAGCTTATACCAAGAGCAAACTTAGTTGGTCTCTAAGGTGCTACTGGACAATTATTTTATATATTTCGACTGCGTCAGACCAACACAACTACCTACCTGAATACAGATGAACAGTCAGTTGTTCGGAAAAGAAGCAATGCATCTTAATAGTATTGAGAGATATCAATTAGACAGGCTGTTTGGCAATTTCCTTGGAATGTTGAAAGCTAAGAATGGAAGAGAAGGCATGAAATAGTCCCATTTGCTGTTTAAGCCTTATGATCCTTAAGCCTCAGGAATGTAAGAGTGGATGCCATGCTAACTGAAGCACAATCCTAGGTTCAGCTAGAAGGCTGAAGATTGTTGGCATTGCCTTCTTTCCCGAGCAAACCTTGTTGTTTCTTCTTTCTAGTATTTATGGTTCAGGCAGCTTCTTGCACTGGCCTCTGTGACTCCCATGCAGAATGGGATTCTGCTTATTCTGTGGACTCTTCCTACTTCGGCACCAGCATAGGTACCTTAAACTAAACCCTTTGAACAGTGCCTTAGCACTCTTAACAGCACGGGCTATTAGGCAAACCTCACAGCAGAGAATATGGGCAGCTTCAGTTGCTGTAATTATTTGAAAGTGCTTGGCTTCACACAAAGTATTGCAGCTATTGATATTCAAGGGCTAGGTTGGGCAGACTTTCTGCAAATGTCAAGCGTACGTACAGACAGTAGCGTAGCGTGGGGGGTGCAGGGGGGGCCGGCCACACCAGGCGCAACATCTGGGGGGGCGCGCTCGCACTCGCAGCTCTCTGCCCCTACCTGGCAGAGTAGCCTACCACAGGTTAGGGGGCGCAAATTACTTGCCTTGCCCCGGGTGCTGACAACCCATGCTACGCCACTGCGTACAGAATGCATAATTAAGAAGCTGATGGCATTTAAATGTAATGATGAACAACTTCACTCAGGTCAGATCAGGGAGCCAATTTTTTTTAAGGATTATCTTGCTCATGTTAGTCTGGGCATGCAAACACTGCATTTAGAATATATTTTGTCTGGTCTCTTCTTCATAATGTGCTGAACAAGCATACATTTCAGAAGGCGTAATATAGAACCTGCATTGCCCCTGTTACGCATGTTCCCTTTTAGGGCATACAGGACTCCTGTTGGTTCTCAGCTAAGTACTGGATCTCTTGAGGTTTTTTTATCCACCAGGCGTTTTTTAGTTCTCTGGTTCCTCTTTGAACCTCAGCCTTAGCGTTGGCATAGGTTTTTTTCTTAGTGGCACAGTTTCTATCTCTTTACCAGATCTGAAAGGCCTTCCTTTTCTTGCCAATCATGCATTCAATCTCACTGTCATTCTCATCAAACCAGTCCTGGTGTTTCTTGGTTTGGTATCCAATAGTTTGTTCACAGGCTGCAATAATGGATGTTTTTAGCTTAGTCCAGTGTTCCTTGATGTTATCAGGGAATTCTGAACGCAGATGGTCCTTAAGAGTCATTTGAAAGCAATCCCGCTTAATGGGATCTTGAAGGGCTTGAGTGTTCATTTTGCACCTTGGTTTCCTTCCTTGGAGCCTGTGTTGAGGTATAATCTTGATAGCCATCTGGAGTGTATTAGTCGGTGATCTGTCCAGCACTCGTCGGCACTCATCATAGTACCACACTTCTAAAAGATAAAGAAGCTATTGCACTGCGCTGGAAAGAACATTACCAACATCTCCTTAACCGCAACTCCCCCGTAGCTGCTGAGGCCCTCTCACAAATTCCGCAAAAACAAGTTAGAGATTAGCTTGCAGTATCTCCAAATCTGGGAGAGTTGTATACAGCTATTAACCAAATGAAAAACAACAAAGCCAGAGGACCTGATGGGATACCTGCCCAAGTCTTCAAAGTGCGTGGAATATAACTTACACAACAACTTCACAAGCTCATCGAAAAAATCTGGGAGAGAGAAGAGATCCCAGCAGACTTTAGGGCTGCCAAAATTATCAATCTCTTTTATAAAGGTGATAGAACTGAGTGCATGAACTATCGAGGCATCTCTCTATTAGCTGCGGCTGGCAAAATTCTTGCAAGGATGTTAGCAAACCGTCTCAATATCTGAGGTGACCCTTCCTGAATCCCAGAATGGTTTTTGGCCCTCTAGGGGGACAGTGGACATGATTTTCACTGCTCGACAGCTTCAAGAAAAATGCAGAGAACAAAACCAACCCCTGTATATGGCATTTATTGACCCAGCTAAGGCTTTCAACACTGTAAATTGTAATGCCCTGTGGACTGTCCTTCTGAAAAAAAGCTGTCCAGACAAATTTGTGAACATCATTCGGCTCCTCCATGATAATATGACAGCAACAATCGCAGCTAACAATGGCTCTCAAAGTGAACTATTCACAGTGGGATAAAGTGTTAAACACGGTTGTGTTATTACCCCAACTCTATTCATTATTTTCATTGCCATGATCCTACACTTTGTCAAAGGGAAACTCCCCACTGGAGTAGAAATCATATATCGAACAGATGGAAAGCTCTTCAATCTGAGCAGGCTGAAAGCAAAGAGTAAGGTTACCCTAACTTCCGTCATAGAGCTTCAGTATGCTGATGACAACGTAGTGTGCGCATGCTCAGAGGATGACCTCCAAACCATCCTAAATATCTTTGCAGAAGCTTACGAAAAGCTTGGCCTGTCGCTCAACATCCAAAAAACCAAAGTGCTGCACCAACAAGTACAAAATAAACCCTCAGCAGTGGCACAAGTCCAACTCAGTGGAGTAACGTTGGAAAATGTCGATCACTTCTCCTACCTGGGCAGTTATCTTTCCACAAGGGCCAACATTGATGCCGAAATCCAGCATCGCCTGAGCTCTGTGAGTGCGGCTTTCTCCCAATTGAAGTGCAGAGTGTTTGAGGACCAGGACATTTGCAGGGAAACTAAAATGCTTGTTTACAAAGCTGTTGTACTACCAACCTTACTATATGCTTGTGAAACATGGACCACTTATAAACACCATCTCCAACTCCTGAAAGAATCTATCAATGTTGTCTCTGAAAATTTTTACACATCACTTGGGAAGACAGGCAAACTAATACCAGTGTATTGGAAGAAGCAAAGATCACCAGTGCTGAAGCAATGATTCTTCAGCATCAACTTCATTGGACTGGTCATGTTGTGCAAATGTCTCATTATCGTATTCCAAAGCAACTACTCTATTCCAAACTTAAAAAATGGAAAGTGTAATGCTGGTGGTCAACAAAAGAGGTTTAAAGACTGTCTCAAGGCAAATCTTTAAAAATGTAGTATAAACACCAACAATTGGGAAACACTGGCCTGTGAGCGCTCCAATTGGAGAACAGCCTTTACCAAAGGTGTCATGAGCTTTGAAGAAACCCAAACTCAGGACGCAAGGGAGAAACGTGCTAAGAGGAAGGCACGCTTGGCAAATCCACACTGTGATCAACTCCCGCCCGGGAACCAATGTCCCCACTGTGGAAGGACGTGTGGATCCAGAATTGGCCTCCACAGTCACTTACGGACTCATTCTTAAAACTGTGTTTATGGAAGACAATCTTACTCAGGTACTAGTGATCACCAAAGAAGAAGACTTTAATTTGTAAAACAAGCATGCTATTTTCAGCACGAGAATTTTTTTGAGTTGCATGAATTTCCATGACTATGACATCTGTCTAATTGATCATCATGAATCAGAACCAATGGGTTCCCACTATCCCTCAGGCATGGCAGGCACTTGGCTGCAGAACCATTAACTTGGAAGCCTTTTGGCCACTGCTGATGCAACCTAACTGACTGGCTGCAAAGCACATGTGTTTCTTTTGGTTTGGCCTTCATCAGCAAGTGTGCTGTGTCTGTGTGATTGGCCTAAGATGTCTGCAACTTCTGATGGCTATTTGATAAATAAGGGCTCTATGCCTGATACAAGCAGGGAACTGGAGTTACTAATTAGCGGGCAGCAAGTGCATCCGTAGGAAAGTGTGCAAGGGCTATTAAGGTTTCAAAATGCTTAAACAAAGCATGTATTTGAGGAAATGCAGTGACCAGGAAGTATGAGCTCGCATGCTGGGAAGCCTAATTTAAGGCAAAGGCATTTCCTTTTAGGTGGACTATATTAAACTTCGATTGTAAATCTGTTGGTTTGGTAAATATTTTAAACTTGAGATATTAATTACAGTTGGGAACGTTTGAGAAATTTAAACAGCCCCTTCATTTTCCCTTTCTGGCAACTTCAAATGCCTCAATATCATTTTCTTCAGCTCCATGGAAACATTGTGTTCAGGAAGTCTACCCACATAAGTGGACATCGTCTGGCAGAAGAGATTGTGACAAACCCTGAACCAGAATAGGTTTAAGTCCCTGTGTGCAGCAGCCAACAATCGTTAATCTAGGCTGCATCAACAGAAGTATAGTGTGCCGATCAAGGGAAGTAATAGTACCACACCTGGAATCTGTGTCCAGTTCTGGGCCCCACAGTTTAAGAATGATATTGACAAACTGGAACATGTTCAGAGGAGGGCAACCAAGATGATCAAGAATCTGGAAACCTTAGGAGGAACAGTTGAAGGAGCTGGGTCTGTTTATCCTGGAAAAGAGGAAACTGGGAGGAGATATGATAGCTATCTTCAAATATCTAAAGGGCTGTCACATGGAAGAAGGAGCAATCTTGTTTTCTCCTGCTCTGAAGGGCAAGACCTGATGGTTTTGATTCCGCATTTAGCATCGTTGTCTAGTTTGGTCCTGTGAACAAAGTTCATTTGGGAATTACTCAGGGTTGCACAACTTGTGTTCCACCAAAACAAATTTAGTTTAGCAGGTAGGCCAGTCACAAAAATTGGGGAGATTTTTGAGCCATTAGTAGGCTATCATACATTGTAGGGGGGCCGTGTTCAGCTTGATGGCAGCTAAAACAATAATTTCACAAATCTCAAGGTGTTCATGAACATGAACCAAGGCTTCAGAGTTAAATGCTTTTTGGCCTGGCTAGTCATTCTGAATGTAATGTCTATCATAAAAGACACACCATGAAATGTTCTTTAAAATACAGCAAAGAAGTAATTAGGCAGTATTCCTTTCAAGGTGTGTATAATCTAAATTTATTTTTGTTTTAAATTTACAAGTTAATTTAATTCTCCACACTATTTAGGGGGTTCCTGAGAGATTGAGATGCAATACTTCTCCAGAGCATACTGGCATGTGCCCCAAGAGATGACTTTTACTTGATAGGAGATTCTTAACATGCAGGAAGAGGCTTCCTCGAATGACAAAAACTTTCTCCTAGGTGTGATTCCTTATTGTAGCCCTGCTCATTTGACCTCTCTTCTGTTTTGCTTTCCTCCCCGCCCCCTTTTTTTCTTTTGTCTTGCAGAGTGGATCACTTAAGGAGCCAGAACCAAACAAAGTCCCACCCCAGCGACCACCTCCTCAAGGTTGTTTACAGTACATTCTCGATTGTAATGGCGTTGCAGTAGGACCAAAACAAGTCCAGGCTACTTAAATTACTGAGACCAAAAGCAAGGGTTAAAGCCAAAAAAAGAGGAATCAAACAATACCAGTTTTTGTGCAGTTTTTGCATTGTTTAAGTGCTGACCTGGACTGTGTTTTTTCTATGCAGTGTCAACTATACTGTCTGGTTGTTTATCTGTTCATGTTTGTGTTGTAATGCTTACTTATGTTTCTCTGTATAACTTGTGATTCAGGGCTGTTGTCAACAGTGTACAAGAATTGTGCCTCTACCAAGTCAGTGAGACTGTTTATCATGGATGGTTAGACAGGTTTTTCTTTCTTTCAAGTATTCTATATTGTGGGGTAAAAAAGACTAACCAGCCCAGGTTGAAATTTATATACTTTTGTTTAACTCTGTGAGTACGTGCATTATATTTGTTTGTTTTTTAAAAAAAAATGTGCATGATTAATGTAGAAAGGTGATTATAATTTTTTTTTAAGTCTCATTTAATAGTATGTTGAATGAGGCATCATTAACTTTTGAGTTCATACTTATAGGCAGTGCTTTTTGTGGTAAAAGAAAATGAACTCCTGGAATTCTTCTCTTGATAAAAGTGCAGGGGGTACCAGCACAAAATGGCTGCCAAGGGTAGCAAAAAAGAAGTGACAGAATTCTGTACTGGTTTGTACTGTCACAAAAAAGTACTGCTTATAGGTAACATGAAAGACAAGTGCTTTATTTCATTTATTTCCTATGAAATATGAGAGAATTATTTCCAGGAATACAGAAATATCCTTTATTTTCAATGCAGATTTTTTTTATTTTAAAATCTGCATTAAATTATTAGCCTCAGTGCTATAAAAACGGGCCACTTACGTGCAATATTGATGCAAATGTGAGGGTACTGAATGTATTTAAGTTCAGTGACAAAGGTTCTCTAGTGGTTATGAAGTAGCCATCTGGTCTTGTACAAAACTAAAGCAAGTGTGTTTACTAGATATTCCTTATCTACAAAATTCAGGTAAGCTACAGCTGTTTGTTAGAGGAAGTCAACAAGGCCATTAAAAGCCTTGCTAGATTAATCATCACCTTTTCCAAATATTGGGCTAGCCACATGTTTTTTTTTAAGGATTTAAAAAGTGTGTGGTACATGGACTCAATGTGTGGTTGTTCTGTTCTATATTAGCTGAGGCTACAGCCAAGTAATTAAGATGCAGCTGTCATCTGATCTATCATTCTGAGCGTAAGCAACAGCATATATGAAAGTATATTTAACATATGGCTCAGAACAAGTAAAAAGGTTTAGGCTTAGAAGTTCACATTTATGACTCAAGTGTGTGTAAATAATAAATCAAAGTGACCCGACGGGTTTTACTTTTCCAAACTTTCTTATAGCCATAATTGCTTATGACTGTCACATAACCAATGGCTATGTGCATAATCTTAAAAGCAATATCTAGGCAGGGCAGTTAAACTGTTACGGAAAATCTAGCCTGTAAACATTAAAAGGTGCACTATTATAATAGCTGTGAGCAAGGCAAAGGATTGTGTTTTGTCAATTAGAATCCCATACTAAGGTAAATAGCAGTCCCTAGGTTAATACAAACAAGCCTGTTTTCTTGTGAAACAATGCCAAGGTCTGAATTTATTTTCCTTGCAAACACTGCCAACAAAATTACAGCTCAGTTACCAAGTGGTTTTATTTGTTCTGTTTTGTTTTTAAATTCAGGCTAGTGAGCTGCAAATTTCACGCTGCTTTTGATGGGAATTTCAGTGCTTGTTGGGCATGCCACGGTGTCCTGCCCGTTTTTAGTCTATTATAGTATCATTCCGCTTTTGTGGTCATTGTTTCTGGTTAGTGATCTCTTGATAACTACACTGATGATTTCGATTGTGTAGAATGAGTGCATCCCCTTCAGCCTCAGGTTCACACACGCCCCTCCTCACCTCCAAATCTCAACCCAAGTGAACAAAACAGCCTCCTGCCCTGAGGTGAAGAAATGAACCTACTGACTGAATGCCATTTAATATCAAGCCATGAGTGTTCCTTTGCATGTAGTAGTCTGAGTATTTACAAATGCTTTTGTGCATTGTTTACGAGCTCTGTGTGTGCGCGTGTGTGTGCGTGTGTGTGTGCACACGTGTGCCTGCAGACCTCAGAGAAAAAGAGCTGCATCCCAGCAGGACTTCAGTGCATTTATTGCAAAAGGTCTTCGGAGGGGCACACACTGGTTACTTCCTGCCACAGATATTAAGCAAGCCAAAATGTCTCTGCATGCTAGCATGCTTAGGTGCAATATTGTGGGATATAGGGAACTGATATTTTGCAGTATAGGATTAATGTCCAGGGGGTTGGTGTGTGTTTGGTTTATTTTATTTTCCCCTTTCCTTTTCTTTTTGTAAAAGCTTTTTTATTATTGTTGCTGCCTTTTTGTACCAAACGAGCTGCAAGAAAGTGAGCAAATGCTGAAGTGTGATTGCAGTATATATTTTGTGAAATATCTTGTACAGCTTAATGTGCAATAAAAAAAAGTTACATCTGTCTTCAGTGTATAGTTTCTGGCATATAAGCCTCAATATCTAAATGGAGAGGGCGGGGAAAGTATTTTCTGCTCAGCAAAGAAAAGCTAAACGAGAATGTTTGTTTTAGGGTGCAGAACTGATCTGCCTCAGTAAAGCCACCTATTCAAAATTCCACCAGTCTCCTGAAAATAGGACTGGTTGGTCTTGAACTTACTTCCGAAAAAGACATAAGCCCTATACATGCTGCACGGCATGTTCAGGAAATGTGTGAGTGGTGGTGGTGGGGGGTTGGAATCATACCTGCTTGCTCCAACTTTGTCCTGCGCATACCCAGTATGGCTTTTGAACAAACCTACATGCATCGAAAAGCCAATCTGCATATACAGCTTGTTTACATAGAAAGTCAGCTCTGTTGAAATCGGTAGGGCGAGGGGCGGAGCCAGCAGGCATGATCTCAACTCCTCATCTACCTATGAACAGGCGTAGTTTCATTTGAGTGGAAGTGTCTTACTCCTTGAGTCTATAAGTCTGCCCTGTTTGCAGTGCACTGAGGCACACATGGAATTCCTCCTTAAGAGAGTTTCCCCATCGCTTTGCTGAAGAGGTCATTTCTGTGCTTGCACGTGAATGGGAAAGCCCTTGGAAACAAATAGCTGATTAGAATAGCCCGTGGGACTTATCCTAAGTCAGGCCATGGGTGCATCTAGCTCAGTGTTTGTCTACACTGACCAACAGTGGCCGTCTAGTGTTTCAATCAGGTCTTGTTCCCTGGAGATGCCAGGAACTGAGTGTGGGACCTTTGGCATACAACGCATATGCCCTGCCACCGAACCACAATCCCTCCCTAGCCCAGTGGAATTTATCCCCCCCCCCCCGCCATATTACCAACATGGGGCATGGCTGATTTTGACGGGAAATGTCTCAGTTCCCCTTGGGCTCATGGAACTAATTTCATGATCCTTTGGTTCCAGGCCAAGGAATTTCATAATGCCAGTGTTGGTGCAATGCTACGCTGTGATATAACAGTGGAGTACTTATCATAAGCATTCATATGTTGGTGTAATAAGTCAAGCTATAAACCCATTTAAATGCACCTCAGAACATTGGACCCTTTAAGATCACTGTGACTAAATTGGTTCCCCTTCAGGTAGTCTAGCTTAACTGGTAGCCTTACAAAGGTGAAGCAGATGGCATCTGATGAGATATACTCAATGTACTTTCAAGCACCTGCAGTTCTGTCTCAGCTGCATACTTAATAAACATGGAAAAACACCAGATTGATAATTAAACAGTGGCTACTGCTGTAAGGGCACATGCTTTGTCTTTTTCAGAAAGGTTCCTCAGGCCCCTCTGAGTAGCCACTGCATGTGTGTGTGTGCTTCTATATGGCATTTAAATAAGCAAGAACAACAACAAAAATCCTAAACAACACCCCCCCCCCGTCTTTAGCAAGAAATTGTGTTGTTGATTTACATTACCATATGCAGAACCATAAAATACAGCTTTCTTCTAGGCATAGCTCCCATTGCAATGGAGCAGTAAAGAAATATTTTTTAGCATGGAAGTTCAGAAATAAAATAGAGAAATGTTGCAATTAATGTAGCTTGTTGTGGGTAGTTATTGCCCTATAACAATCTCAGAATTTTTTATTTTTTTAAAGTTACCATTGCTAAATTAATACTTTTTTTAGGGCACCTTGGTATCAGTGTGGAGGTTTGCAAATGTGGCGCTTCTGCAAGTTACACGGAATTATGGCTAATGGTATCAACAGCAAAGATGTGGCTCGCCTATCCTAGACACGCTGAACTTTATTGGTTCCAAGTTTATATTTGTAAGTGTTAGATATAAGAGCTAGTACAAAATTACTGATGCGTTATGAAGTTTTTCTTGTACTGAACCTAGGGGGCCCAGTGCAACCCCAAGGAATGCAATCACAAAGCCAGGAGCCATTGCAACCACAGCGTGCGTTCCCTCCGGGGCAGTCAGCAAAGCCCTCGAGTTCCCTGCCTCCACGTCCACCAGGCCCTGCAATTCAACCACGTGCTCAGGCCCCAGGTCCTTCAAGCGCTGGGCCACCTGCGGACACAGAGACGAAACCCTCCACAGCTCCACCGCAGAAACCTCCAGCACATCCGCAACTGAAGTAAGGCTTTTCGTTTATTTTCTCCACTCTTGTTTCATATGCTTTCCTTTGCCAGTGAGGTTTGAATACAATCTGTACAGATCCCCTGTGGTGGTGGTGGTGTTGTTGTTGCTGTGAGCATGTAACATCTTTGCACCAGGTTGACCTGAAGCAGGGAAATTTCCAACAAAGGCAATAACAGATGTTGAAAAAGCTCTCCGGTAATTTGCAATACATGCAGATTTCTGCTGCCACGAGGCCAAATTTGATAATGGGTCATCCTCTGTTTCTGCACACCAACCAAAAAGGCACTGACTCATTTTTGAATGTGCTGTCTGTAAGTCAGCTGCTGAGGAAAAGAAGGAAGCCTTATCTACTTAAACTTTTAACCTTTCAGCCACTCAAACAACAGATTTTCAGTTTAAAAAGGCTACTCCGAAAGTCCATGATACATTTTTCATCCATTTTTTTCCCAAAAGCTCCAAAGCTATATGTAGACATGTGTAGGGCTGTACCCAGTCGATCCAAATGCAGAAAGAGAAAGACATACTGTGTAAGGCCAATAACACAGAAAGAGAGGAAATTGGCCCTAGTCAGACATTTGGTACCTCAGACATTTAAACCAATGCCAGTCACGTGTTCAGTGCCAGTCTGAAAGAGACTCTTCTACTCAAGTAGGGGGCTTTCCTTGGCAGAACCCTGACTGATGAGAACCAACCACCTGAAATGGGCTATTGTTTGTACCAAATGCCTGGATATATAACTGTTGGTGGAGCAAGAAAACCAAGTAATCTGCAGTTACATCCCACAGCTCTGGCCATATTGGAATCTTACATAATGGCAAAGAATCTTTGCCTACACTATGTACAGCAGCAGCAAGGAAACAATAGTATTAACAGCACATACGGTCTTGCCAAATAATGTGCAGACAGATTGCAAACTCAATATATATTTATCTATTATAAAATGCATATCCTGCCTGACGCTATCCAGCTTTCAACAAGAATTAACAATGAACAATAAGCAAATTATGAAATACAATAAATAGCAAATAATTAAAACAATACAATGCAGTATCCTTAATGCACATGCAATACAAATTCTAAAATGCCTTCAGTTATGCTTGTAAATATTAAATTCATGATTATTGAACTCTATACTGCTGTATATTTCCCTATAGGGCAAATAGCAGCTGGCAGGACAGGAACTTAAAACATGAAGCAAACACAATCTAAAAACCCCAACTACAGTTATTAACTTAAAAAATGCAAGAGATCATTCTCATGGATCTCCTACCTTAATCTCCCCATTAATGAGATTAAGTACAACAGCTTGAATACTAAGAAATGTTAACTCAAGAGGATTCGTGGAAGGATCATGTGCCTCTCTGGAAGTTGGGGGGCTTCCTGTATAGATAGAGCATGATCAGCTGCATATTGTTTTCAAAAAAACAACTGAATTTTTGCCTTCTGAAACAAAAGTGGAAGGAACACGGGGGGAAATAAAGGATGACAGACATGATTAGCCCATCATGTAGAGCTGTTCCATAAAAAAAGGTATATGAACAAAAAATGTGGCTATTCTGCAGTAAACACCTACTGTGGAATCATGGAAATGCAAAACAGGGGCAGGTGTGGAGGCGGCAATGGAATCTACATGAATTGTGTGCCCCCCCCCCAACACTCCTTTCATTATTTTCTGAGACCATCTTATATCATTAGAATACACATAGCTAAAGTCTTCGCTATATCAACGACTGTAATAGCAAAAGGAAAATAAACTTGAATGAAATATTGGCCTGGAACCTTTCTAATGGAAATAGTAAAGTGTTTTATTTCCCTGTTTCATTTTACCTTTATTCTCAAATGAGATTTTTTTTTAAAAACTCCATTATCCAGAGAAAGAGATTTTGAAAGTCTTCGTCTGTATCCCAGTCCTAAGCAACTGGGCTAGTGCCATCTGCCTGCCATGCCAGAGTAATACCCCTGGAAATGCCAACATAAACCACAGCTTGGGAAGTTGCCCTCCTAACTGAGATCAGCATGTCCTATCCTAATCCTTTATTTCCTTTGATGGGAACGTGTTAGGGTCTTTCCTAACACTTGAAAACTGTATGCATGTGGTGTGCCATTGAGCCTTCCTTAACAGGCTCACAGCCTGAGTCACAGGCTTATTCCCATTCATATTTTAATGTTCAAAATGAAAAAACAAACATACACAAACTCAAATTGCCAATGGGATTAACTGTACTCTGTGCATTTGGCATATATGTGCCTTGCATTCTCACCCACATGCTCTTGCTTAACATGTGCGTGCAGGTTATTAGCCCATGAACAAATATTTAATTAGGCCGTTCATTTTTGAGTTGCTAATCAAGTGAAGCCTTGCTTTGCCTTTCCACCGCCTCCTTTCCGTGAACACAAAACCCAAGTACAATGCAAACGAGAGAGACAGAACACCACATGCAGCACCACTGGCTCTGGTTTTCAACCAAGTTTGGGGTTGAAAGCAGATGTTGCCTTGTGCTGAGACATAATACAGGAAGCGCAAGCAGCCTCACAACTTTTTCCTTCTACTAGCCTTAGATTTTATAGCATAACTAAAGCCCAACAGTTTTGCTACTGTCCACACTCTGCATACCTGCATTCAGTCAAGTCCTATCAAATTAAGAAATATTGTTCCAGGGAAAGTCGCTTTAGGTGCCGTTCAGCAGCCATTTTCTGTTGAGCTGGATTATCGAATCATAAAACTGTAGAGTTGGAAAGGGACCATGAGGGTCATCTAGTCCAACTCCCTGCAATCCAGGAATCTTTTGCCTAATGTGGGGCTCAAACCCACAACCCTGAGCTTAAGAGTCGTATGCTCTACCAGCTGAGATATCCTTACATTGGATGCAATCTATAAAAAGTAAAGCGTGTTTAAGGCTGTAATCCTAAACACATTTACTAGGAAGTAAATCCCATTGACAACAATGGGTCTTACTTCTGAGGAAACATGCTTAGGATTGTCCCACACATCCCACTGAAATTAATGTAAACTAAAATTAATTAATTACATTAATTAAAATTAATGTAAACTAAAATTAATTAAGGACTGCACTCCTAACCCTCTGAGAAATAAATGCCACTGAAATGAGTAGAGCAGGTTTCCAAATAAACATGGTTAGGATTAAGCAACAATTCCATTCACTTGAATGGGACTCAAGCACTCATGTCTCCTAGAATGTATGGAGATAATTTTTGGTCCAGAATTTTTTTGTATGCCCTGATGGACAAAATGATTCATGTGGATTTCTGTGACGCCTTCCCCTGCAACGTGTTGCATTCTGTGTGAAATAGCCCAGCACAATGCATATACATTGCCGAACAGCTGGTCATGGTAGTCAGGTCTGAGTCTGCATCCATATCTCTGCCCAAAACACATGATCATCTGTGACAAAGCTAACAATGGTGACCAGAGAAGGAGATATGGCGGGCAGAGGTCTATATGTCCTGCTTCCATTGTATGACATGGTAAACAGAATTCTGAGGTATGGCTATAACAGACAACATGCAATGATGTACATTTTGCTTTGTTTTTATCTTGCAGCAAATCACAGTCTCTGACCAACGCCTTCAACTTCACTGAGTCATCCTTCTTTCGGTCATCTGTGAACGAGGACGAAGCAAAAGCTGAAACCATCCGAAACTTGAGAAAATCCTTTGCCAGCCTCTTTTCTGATTAGCCATATAATGTTTGGTTTTGTGCGTCTGTAATACATTTCAAAGTTTACCGTGAACATAATTTTGCAAACATAATTTCCTTGTGAATGACCCTCCTTTGCTGTTCCAAGTGTTGTATTAAGCAATATGCTAAACTATTTTTAATAAGGGACTATAATGAGATAGACTTCAGGTATTGGGGGGGACGGACACCTGGCTTTTTTAAAAAGCCAGAGAGGAAAAGCGATACAGCAGAATGCTTAAAGTCCTCATCAACTGTGATAATGTGGCCTTACCGTGAAATGCACTAGGTCATCACATTGGACTCCCCTGTGTGAAATCATTAGAGCAACACACCATTACATAGTGAGTTTTCTCCAGCATTCAACTCACTGCATGTTTGTTTGTTTGTTTGTTTGTTTTGTTTGTTTGTTTCAGGTGTTTTGTTCTGCAAGGGTACAGTCTTTAAACCTGCTTTCTTGCCCCCAGATCTTTAGGGTACAGCTTCACAGGGCTGTTTCCTGTTAATCTCCTTCACCTTGTGAGTAACTAAAGCAGTTTTCTACCCCAGCAAGCTTTCCATCAGATGAATGTATCGTTCTGATATGCTGCTAGGAGCAAACCTTGGAATGAACCGTTGTTCTAGAGCTTTGTGTCTATATTATTGTATCCCCATATGTCTGTTAGACAATTTTTTGCAAACTGTTAATGGTAGCCTTTGATTTGTAAAAGACCAAGCATGACCTCATGTTCTCCATAGTTCCATGTTACCTTCCAATAAATGCAAAACCCTTTGCCTGGCAGTAAACACACTTCTGCAGGACTGGTCTGCACTGTAGTATTGATTTCTCAAACAAACAGCCCAAATTAGATGGCAAAGCATTATTTTTCTCATTGTCAGCCATACTTATTCATCAGCCAAAAAAAAAATCTATCTCTGTTTCGCAATACTTGACAGAAACCACACACTTCTGGACTATACGGTTGCATTGCTGAATACTTGTCGGTACACATGCACTTCCTGCCCTACGAACCATGGAATATGTTCTACTTAGCACCAGATTATAGGACCACATATATTGTGATGCACTGTACTCACACATCCTCTACCACTTTCCTTTTGTGCTAATCCCACTGAATTATAGCATGCCTGATTCTTATGCTAGCCATGCTTTGCATGAAGCAAATACAGTGGTGCCCTGCAAGACGAATGCCTCGCTAGACGAAAGAGTTTTCCGTTTTTTGAGTCGTTCCGCAAGACGAATTTCCCTATGGGCTTGCTTTGCAAGACGAAACGTCTTGCGAGTTCTTGCGAGTTTGTTTCCTTTTTCTTTAAGCCGCTAAGCCATTAATAGCCGCTAAGCCGTTAATAGCCGCTAAGCCGCTAATAGCCGTGCTTCGCAAGACGAAAAAACCGCAAGACAAAGAGACTCGCGGAACGGATTAATTTCGTCTTGCGAGGCACCACTGTATTTTAAGTTTGCTTGCTCTTGAGAGCATGGGTGCTACTGCCCTGTTCTGTGGCACAGCAGACTTATTCAAACGTACGCCACACCAAGCCAAATGCAGCCCACCAGCCATCTCTAGTGGCCTAGAGGAGGTGTGCTGCCTGAGTGTGCTAAAGGGAGGAGAGAACAGTTGTCAAGTACCCAGTAGACTGAAAGCTAGTAGGCTGCATGTGGCTCTGTAGGCTCAGATCTGAGGGGCTATGATAAAAGGAAGAGTCCTTGGGTATCAGCTACCAAATTGTTTTTCCTTCCGTGCAAACTCTCCCTGAGTACATAGTTGCATGGAAAAAGTGATGTGTGGAGCAGAGGCTGTATTTCTGTGATCATAAAGGTGGCAGAAATGACATCCACAGTTGCATTTATTTTTATTTACAAACGTATCTAGTTTCATGCTATAGATTTACTGTACATATCCAAGGACAATACTATGAAGCAAAATATTCTGAGAAAAGGACTACGTTGACCTATCCCAAGGCTGAGGGTAAGTCTGCCACAGGAAGCAGGATAAGGCCTATTTACACAGAAGTCTTCTCACACTAGAAAAGGGAATCTGTAGCATACTTTTATCCCAAGGGTTAAGCCAGCCCTAGCTGTTCCCCAGTGCCACATTGACAATATTGTTTGTTTGTCTAACTTGGGGTTCTGTTATTTCTAGTGAAAAGTTATTGCTTTGATCCCCCCCCCCTTTTTAAAGGAGGCATCCAGAGATAATAAGGTGCAGTGCTTAGTCCCTCAGTTTCTCTCTGCTTAATGAATCCAATAGGAGATAGCTTTAGTACACCAGCTACATAACTGGGAGCATAAATAGCATTTAGAGTTTTCATATTTGTGAAAAGCATTGCTCTGTGCATTGTTGCAAGTTGCATTGCAGCTGTACTTTCCGATCTAGCCCTCAGAAGATAGCACAAAGCAGTTGCAAGGGCCAAAGGGAGGGGGGGATTCTGAATTCCAAATATAAGATTTGCCATCAAAGTCCAAGAAACCAGAAACTTCCAGCGGCGAATTCAAAAGGCCTGGCTGAATATTTGTTTTTAGAAGCCCATTTCAGTTTGTACGTGGCCCAACAGAGAATGAAACTTTCATCTGAAATTGATGAACAAAAGGTTTTTGAGCCTCTGGGCCAGGGATGGGGAACCTGTGGCCTTCCAGATGTTGCTAGACTGCAACTCCCATCATCCCTAACCACTGGCCATGCTGGCTGGGGCTGATGGGAGTTGGAGTCCAACAACTTCCTAGGTAGTAGTGCAGGTCTTTGTACCAGTCCCTGTAGGGCAGAGCATTTTTGTGCTTGCCCTCAAACTGGCTTTCAGGGGCAGCTTTTTCTGCCTAGCCTGTACTGCAGGCTGTGTGAGGTGTGTGCACAAGCAATTGGTGTGGACATATAGATTAATTTGGTCACATTTTGGCAGGTGTGCAAGCTGGAAGGGCTGTATGATAACCAGATGAGCACTTTTAGGCATATTCAACTGCTGAATAAGGAAAACATTTGGACCTGCCCTGTCTCAGTCACAGGCAGTGCATGCCATTTTGCCCCCTGAGGTGAAAGGGCCGGAGCCTCCCTTACCTGGGTTGTGTGACAGGTTCCAGAAATATCTTGCAGATTTCCAGTAGGGCAGGCAGGGGTGCCGCCTCATGACATTCCACCGCCTGAGGCAGCTGCCTAAGCCCACCTCATAGGCAGGCCAGCCCTGCTCAGTTACCAGGAGTTTTGTGGCCCTGAGCAGGGGTTGGGATCAAAAAGTCTCCCTACTCAGAACTCAGGACTCAGATAAGGGGCTATGATCAGGTCATGCCCTTCCCCTGGGCCCTGTGGCTCGCCTAAATTAGGTGGGGTTAGTGCTGATCCTGCATAACATCTACAGTCTCTATTTAGCTCTGCATTGAATCAAATGTGGGCCTAGTTCATCCCCACATACTTCAGTCTAGCCTGAGGTTCCCCACCCCTGCTCTAGCACCCTGAGGCCACTTATAAATGACAACAAAGGAGCAATTAGATCTCCCACAGAAGTTCCAAAAGGACCCAATTGTTGATCAGTTTGCTTATTTTGTTAACAACTTTTACACACCTCCTAATAGCAACATTTAAAATAAAATATTAAAATACAGACCAAAGCCAAAATGGAAAACAAAGCACACAAACTCAGCAAAAATTCATTACAGCTATCTGTCAAGAGCATTAAAGACTTTTTAAATGGATCATTTAACATTTTTTTTTAAAAAAAACACACCCCCTCAAGCATTTAAATTACTAAACAGTTTTTTTAAGCGCAGGAAGATAAAAGCTTTGGCACTGAAGATATCACAAAGTAGGTGCCAGTAAGGCTTTCTAGAGAGGACAACCACAGCCAGGGTGTCTCCACTGAAAAGTCCCTCTCCCCAAACCAACCTGCTACATTTCACTCAGCAAGGGAGCCCTGGGGAACACTTCAAAAGATGCCCCAAAGGTCCAGCTAGGAACATGAAGGAGGAGATAATCCTTTAAGTAACCTGTACTCAAATCAAGGTTAAAAGCAGCACTTTGAATTTGATCTGGAAACAGCCTGTAAATCAAAGCACTGGCATGGAATCATTGAGTTGGAAACAGTGCTGTTTTTCTAGAACAAAAGGTGCCAGAACGCACCATTAACACCTCCGTTGTTTTCTTATAATGGCAATGGGGGCCCACCTGAGAGGTGCCGAAACTGAGTTCCAGCAAGTTCTGGCTGGAAAAAAAGCCCTGGTTGGAAGGGATCTCAAGAGACATCTAGTCCTACCCCCTTCCATCCAGGAATCTCTACATGGTCCCCTATCCATTTTGAAACCATAATGGATCCTGTGCTAGCAGTTTTATTGCTGCAGCCCTAGTCCAATAGTCCCAGTCCCAATTAAAACGCTTGTGGCTGTATCTGGACTATGTGAAGTTCCTAGATCATATTCAAAGGCAGACCTATGTACAGAACACTACAGTAATCCAAGTAAAATGAGTGCAAAATCCATCTGCCAGAATGCTTATGGGGGCTGGAAAGCTTGACAACATCACACCAATTTTGCATCAGTTGCATCAGTTACCCATTTAGGGTGACTAAAGCAGCTATGACAACACCATTGCATTTGCCAAGGTAGGGAGAGGGTGAGGTTGGAGGAAGCTGTTGGCTGGTGGTGTTGACATCCCACAGCTGTGTGCACACACACCTGGGAGGCTCCAACCCCAGCACCCCAAAGATGCTTCTGCACAACCACCACCTCACTGTATCACCAGCCCAGACAGTGCAGCTCCACCACTGCTAGGAGAGCTTCACTACCACACACCGCTGCTTAGTACTAACTTTTAAACCTTGAATGGTCTGAGATTGAAGGAGTGCCTGCACCCATACAGACCTGCATGGGCCCTGAGATTAGCCTCAAAGGCACTGCTCTCTGGGTCATCACTGAAGTCCATCTGGTTTAATTCCCTCTATTGTGGCCTTTATGTGGCTCACAAATACTTTCTATTCTGCCAAGCATTTTTTTGACCCACAGATGTTTTTAATCTGATT